TGCGCCCGCACCTCGCTCAGGCAGTGAGCGGCCGGTCTGTATGTGGGATCCGAACCCTTGGTGGGAGCGCCGTCGCGCTCCCAAGCGGCGCACTGTAGCAGTGCACCACCGGGCCAGCCCACACTCTTTTAGATATGTTATAGTTGATGAAGAGCTGGACACACAATCAGAAAAACCTAACCTCAGGTCACTGAAGTACTTCCTGCTAGTTCTATGACCTTGAGCAAGGCATTTAAATTGGACATTAGTTTTCTCTGCTTAGTGGAGATGATTACCATTACCCGAGATTGGAGTGAAGACTAAACAACTTAATGGACATGAACCCATCAATCTCCACTGTAAAGCATTATATTGCTATATGGTAGTATTACTATTTATTTTCACTTTGGCTTGAGATTAGATACATCCCACAACCGAAGTACACATGCATTCCTTTTTTGCTTCATGTGTACATTTCTAATCACAACAAATCTTGCTGTAAACATCGTCAATTAAACTTGTATTAACAGTTGCATTTCCAGACATATTTTCTAAAGCCTTTCAACATTCCCAAAGCAGGTTTACTTAAAGACAATTTACTCAGGGGATGCTAAGCGGGAAAGGGCCATGCATAACAGGTAAAGGCACAAAACATCTTAAAGATAGGTTGCTGTGAACTATGAGTCTGTGAGGCTCTTCAGAAATTATTGAAGCCCTGCTCCTGTAATAAAGTCATCTATAATGTATGCTGAGATTTTAAAAGGCAGTAGGCATAAAACTGAAGAGATATATGTCATAAGTTACATCCTAATAGAGAACAGATTTAAGTAAATATAAACTATGTCATAACATCATGACAGTGTGTGTCAAGGCACTGCAAATAAAAAGAAAAACAACCAAAAACAACTTCTTCAATTTCCAGTGAATATTCTGCACCATTATTATGTACTGCAGTGAGAGTTATAAATTGTATTACTAGACTTGAGGAGTCAGAGTGGTTAGGCTTGATTACAGCTCAGTCACATCCAAGTCCGTGATCTTGGTTAAAACTGTATTGCTGTACCTCACCAGATTATCCTGAGTACCATGAAATCATGTATAGAAGTATGTTTGTAAGAAAAGCTCCACAAGTTTCACACAAATGTGAAATATGGACTATTATCATTACAATATATTGAGTTTTCTAAAATCAAAAAAGCGAACAAAAACATTTATTATCACAAATATCCTAAAGTATTTGAGTTGGAGCCACAGTCTAAAGCTCTTTCTCACTTGCTCACCACTCCCCACTATTTCCATTTCTTTTTCTCTCTGCCTTGTTGCTTCTAAAAGGATTTGCTGTGGGGACTTGCTGACTTTCTAGACACAGAGCTTCATGGTTTCTTTTTTTATTTCTTTGATTTTTCAAGCCAACAAATTTGTAAAGCCACTGAAATCATCATGTGCCCTCTGTGTGACAAGAACTGCTCACTGCAAAGACTCAATGACAGCTGTGTCTATGCCAAGGTGAGTGTGGACCCTGAGCTTCACTTTTTCTAAGAAGCAGGTAGTAAGAAGTTCTCCGGTAAAACACTTTGTATCAAAATTAAATATTCCCAGGAATTTCAATAATCACTAGTGTCATGGACAAACGAATAAAATGTCAGTCTGCTGTACTTACACAGCAAGCATATTTCATTTGAATATCTTTGTCTTCTCCATGTTTGATTATTGCCATCACAGACATAAATTTCCACTTGAAGTTATATCTATATTTTTTAGAAGAACAATTATTTCCATTGCTAATGATTAAATTGGTCTCTTCCATGAAGATTGAGGAAGTTAAAATACTTCTAATTATATAGAGAAAACAAAATACCAAAAATTCCAAAACTGCTGCCTATTAGAATCACCTGAAAGGATTTTTAAACTCCTGAAGCCCAGGTCACACCCCAGAGCAATTAACGCAGAATCAAGATAATGAAGTATCACCTCCAAAAGCTTATTCACACCCTTTTATAATCTCTGCCTCCTACCCTTCCTAAACCCTAACCCTGTGCTCAGGCAGCCAATTACTTCGTGTCTTTCTAGCTAAATCTGTATTTCCTAAACTTACGTAAATGGAATCATACAGCATGTAATTTTTTCTGGCTTCTTCCACACTGCATAATTATTTTGAGATTCATCCATATTGCAACTTTTATCAAAAGATCATTTCTCTTTATTGCTGCATGCTATTCCATTATATCTGTACCAGAGTCTGTTTATTCATTTACCTATTAATGACTTTTGGGTTGTTTCAAATCGTCACTTATTTAAATAAAGCCACTATGAACATTCATTTACAAATCTTTGTACAGACAAATGTTATTATTTTGGGAGGTAAATATGTACAAGTGGAATGGCTGGATCATGTGATAAGTATATGGTTAACCTTTTAAAAAACTGCCAAGCAAAATTTTTCCAAAACGTTTATACTATTTTACATGCCCACTAGCAGTGTATGAGAGTTCCAGTTTTCCGGATAGTCACTGAGCCTCAGTATGGCCAAACTTTTCAAATTTTAACTATGCTCATGAACATCTAGAGGTATTGTATTGTGTTTACTTACTTGAAAATAATTTGATCCTTTTGGATTTAAAATATTTAAAATATATTAAGTATTTTAAAATATTTGAGGTGAGACCACAGCAGTGCTCTATTGAGAGCTAATTATTTCCCACAACAAAAGCAAAATCTGTCTGTGTACTCTACCCAAAGCACTGTGAATAATGAGGATTTCCAGTATGTCTGGTGGGCATAGGCACTATTGCTGACTCTAATCCTTTCAAGTGGCTCTTTCCTTGACCTTAGGTAGTTTCCTCGCATACATGCTCAGTGAACACTGCCTGGGTTGTCTACAGAACTCTTTTAAGACAGTAACTGAAGCAAAACTAATGCTCACCTTATTTGTTTCCCACCTCTCAGAGATCATTGCCCTTTGTTCCTGTTGTCCACTGTCTTGAAATTTGTTGTTTATGTATTTTGTGCATGTTTCAGTTGTTTCCAGCATGGAAGTAAAATCAGTCCCTGTTACTCCATCTTGTCCAAAAGTGGCTCTATACAATTAATTTTGACAAAGCTGCATATAAAATCAAGAGCCACTCAATCTCCTTACTACGAGACCAAAACTTAGTAAAGTTAGTTTCTGAATTGTTTAGCCTGAATGAAGAGGAAGGGAAAAGTCTTTTTGTTTATACTTTAAACTTTAAACTTTTTTTTTTCACACTCATGCCTCTTGGTTTAACTTCTACAAACTTACTTTTGTTAGAGACTCACCGAAAAAATATTCTTTACTTTAAAAAAATAAATTTTGTAGACACAATGACAAATTGAAAGAAAATTTCCTTAGTTTCAGTGTCAATTTCCAAACTACGTTTAGTTTTGAATTCTTTTGCTTTGTGTGTACATGTTCCACTAAGACGATAGGGACTTAGAAATGCAGATACATTGTTTTGGGTCAGCATTTTCTCATCACTTTTTGCCAAAGCCAAATATGTTAGAGGTTTTAGAGATATACACATGTGCCTCTCCTAGCTCCTGTATTTCAAAGACATATGACAGGCCTTAGGGACACCAACAAATCCAGATACATATTACTTCTACTTTTACTTGGACAGATCCAATAAAACACATTGACATTATCTGTGCGTTAAAGACAAGAAACATCCACATTTGGTAGACTGATAAAGCAAAGAAACTGTCCAAGGGAACACTAAATCAAAGGGGCTTTTTTCATTGTGCAGTAAATAAACCCTCCTTTTATCAATAGGAAAAAGTATGTTTAGGGACAGGTATGACTCAGAAAAAATTAACTTAATAACTCTTAAAAGGAAGGTGGAAAAGTTAGCTGTATTGCCAAGGAGAATATTGCCCTTATGGAACAATATAAGGAAATAAAACCTACCAGGATGAAATATTTGGTATGTCTTGTGTTTGTTCCTCTGGCTAAGATAAAATGTAACTACTTGTGTTATATTATAACTGCTATATATATAACTACTTGATTCTTGAAAATCAGAATTTTGGGATGGAAATAAACATTCTCTTGTAATATCAGTTTATGTGCTTGAATACCTAGTAGTTACTTGATGAGCAGAATCAGAAATAAGGGATGAGATTTTTACCAGAGCGACAAGCCAACCAATCTAGGATCATCTAGCTACGTGATCTAGGAACTTGATTCAATTTCTCATGGAATCCATCACCACTTGTGACAAATAATAGGAAGTTAAATCTGCCATATCTTATTGTAGTATGTGTGTATACATGCAGTTTATTCCCTTTATAATTTCAGGGATATGTTTGCATGAAAAAAAATTGGTCCTGTCATAAGATAGAAATTACATTTAAGTACATTAACATTTCCTTTGATGACTATTTTTACTTTTAATACTTAAAAGAGGAGTTAATTTTTTTTTGCAATTAAGTAATTTAGTGATATTTATTTGCACACTTATTTAAAGGCACTAACACTACACTGTCAAATCCCATGATGCTAGGATTTCTCATTTAAGGAGAAATAGTTAGATAGAAGGTCCTAAGTTGATTTTTCATAGAATTCTAAAAATAAGTCAACTCTTGAGGTTGGTCTTATTCATGATAGTTATTTTATTTTCTGGTTTTTTTGTGGGGGTTTTCGTTTGTTTGTTTTTGTTTTTTTATTTGTTTAACAAACAAGTAAATACCTAGCATAAACCTCTTACTGTACCTCTTACTGTACTTTGATGTTGAGGCTACAAAAGAAATAGGAGAGAGGGTTTTTCTTCTTTAGGAAAATTCATGGAAGAGTGCATATATGGCTCTATATCAAAACATCTGTTAAAAAGCAGATTTCTGGGCCCCACATCCTGAAATCCAAAATCAGTTGGTCAAGGATGAGTCCTAGAAGTCTGTATGTTAACAAGCTTCTTGAGCAATTCTGATCCTAGGACCACATTATTATCATCTTTTTAAAGGGTGGGAGGGGGGAGAGGGAGGAGGGAGGGAGGTTTTGGTGATGGGACACAATAACTACATTGTATATTGACAAAATAAAAAAAAAAACAAATGTCATGCAGATAAATTATTAAAAAAATAAAAATAAAAAATAAAATGTACATGTTTATGGAGCACAGCTTATAGTTTCAATACAGGCATGTATAATGATCAAATTTTTTCAATACAGTACATTGTATTGAAAAAATGATCAAATCAGGGTAGTTAAGATATCCACCATCAAAATATTTATCACTTATTTGTGGTGATAACATTCAAGGTCCTCTTTTCTAGCTATTTTGAAATATAAGATATTATTAGCTATAGTCAACCCACAACACCCCCAGGACCACAATTTTAAAAGTGATGTGGGAAATGAACTAATGAAGTTCTCATGTTTGATGTAGTTTGTGCCTGGGTCCAGCAAATTCAGATGGTTATTCATGTTTTGCCCTCCCCAAGGGTTAAGAACACAGGAAGTGAGAGAGCGAGCAGAACTCTAGCCTACATTCTGACTCCCTGCCCTCTATGCCGCAATAATGTCCCGGCCTACAGAGCTGAATCTGCCCAGGATGGGTCTTGTTCTCTTTAACCTGAAGGGGCTTTAACAGGATATATATGGCAGTTTCCAGAGTTTTATGTTATTCTGAATCTATCAAACAATTTTAGAAAAACATCCAGCAGCTACTGTGAAGACATAGACTGTAAGCTTCCAGTCTAGTAAGAAATGTATCTCCCTAAACAATACCCACATTTATTGCTTTATAGCCATGCTCAGCTCTCCAAGAAAAACCAGATATCAAAGATAATGGAGAATTTGTGTTTAAACACAGTGTTGTTTGAAGCTCAGTTCTGTTCCCTTCTATATATACGTATATTACTCCTATTTACATCAACAGTGTTAAATAAAATGCTTGTCTTTAGGTATTTCTATTCATAAAGCATGCTATTTTCCTAATAAAATAATTCATTGAGAATATATATATATATATAAGATATACATAACGTGTGTTTTATATATATATATGTATATATAAAATAATAAGACGAGCTTCTTTTTGCTTTTAGAAAAGTCAGGGATGCTGGTTTAAGATATACATAACGTGTGTTTTATATATATATATATGTGTGTATATATAAAATAATAAGACGAGCTTCTTTTTGCTTTTAGAAAAGTCAGGGATGCTGGTTGGGGAATTTTCTCAAGATTTCAACTGGGGCTTTCTTCCATACAGCAAGTGTTCTTGTCCTATTAGACAGAAGGCCACTTCTCTCTTTACTCTCAAGCCATGATCTAACCTTGAGCCATCCAGTGTACTCGACTGTTCCTTCTCTCTCCTATTTTCATCCAGCAGCTCTCATAGCAGCATCCTAAATGATGTTAGCACCCCAAGCTATAATCACAGGCTTCTTATTGCTCTTCTTGTCTCCATGATCTCTCATATCACAATACATTCCCTGTATAATATCTTGGTAAGTCTAATACAGTGATTTTAAATGGTTACACTCCTCCTTAAAGCAAGGGCTAAAGTCTTTCCTAACTCCCATCCTAGCTTTATCTCCCACTACATATATTTAATCCCACATTTTAGGATATTACATGTATATACATTTATCTCATGGATATGTTTCTAAAAATTTAATGTTTATATTTACCGAGTTAACAAAGTGCCTGAAAGGTTTGTAAACGAACCTATGAAGAAAGAGAAAAAAACAAAAAGCAATTTAAAGCAAAATACTGCATAAACTATGACAAATCATGTCTATGCAACACAATTATTGTTAAGTGTGTTTTTTTATTTGCCACTTTCCTAAAAGCATGGCTATTTCTGGAGCCGGGGAGAGCCATTATTTCTTGGTGACCTTTAAGTCCCCATGTGTAAAGTCTCTGTTCTAACACTCTAAGAGGCTGTTTCCTGTACAAGGTCTGTTTATAAAGGAAAATAGACAGCTGTTCAGCTGCTTACCAGCCTCAGGTACCTCTGTGGGATGCCTTTGGAAACAAAGAAGCTGGATTCTCCTGCTGGATATAATTTTATGAGCTCTGTAGGGGAATTTCCTTATGATATTTTTCTCTCCTGTGCATAATGTATACTAATGATTATTCTGAAAACCAATTCTTATAACATTTTTAGAAATCACAAGCCCTAACACTCATATAATTTTAGTCAGATAGGACATTTTCCACCTATCCACAAACCTTTAAAAGGAGCACATCTTTTTTTATGTTCATTTTTTCAATAATACTACGTTATTGGAAAATAATCCTACATTTACCTGTTTTACATATTGTTTTTCAGTGTGTTCCAAATGTTACAATTAAAGTACACATTAGTGTTGTTTTAACGCCCCATTGAGCACCCTCTAGACTTTAGATTGAGCAAGGAGGACACAATTCTATTCTAACTTTTCTTATAGTGATGTTCTTTAGCCCATAATTGGCCTCTCCTTCCTCTAAGGATAGAGTCCCCTATTTTCTCAATAGTTTCTATAGAATTTGTGTTCCTGCCATGACTGCATTAATTTCCCTCACTAACTTACACATATAGTGAGGGCATTATGCAAATGAAAACAAGCAGAGGTAAATTAAATTTATACTTTATTAAAATCAAACAATCCTTGCAACCCTGAAAATTGTATAACTGTACATGGTTCTTTATCAAGCTTCAGATAATATCTGATTAAAAAACAATCGTACTGTATCAATGATGTCCAGCAATTTATGAATCTTCTTAAAACAACTGAAGGTGGGATTCATTACTTCTCATAGTCACTACTGACACATTCTGAAAGATGTGAGAGAGTAGGGGTAGCACTGTGATACCTTTCCATGGGAAGTTCTGGCTCACTGGCAGAATTCTGCATTTTCCAACTTCTCCACTCCTAGAAATATTGCTGACAGGAAGTGCGACGAGGTATGCCTCACCTGGAAAGCTAACCTCTTGCAGCTCAAATTGCAGTTTGAGTACCTGTAGGCCATGAATATTTTCTCAGGGTGCTAGAACCACTTCTAAGCAGAAATGATGGTGGGTACAAAGGGAATCAGAGGGAAGAGAGAAGAAAAAAGGAAAAATGATGTTCCTTCACCTCTCCCCATGGGAAAATCACATAAAACAGTTGTACAACCCATGAAAGGATCTCATATATTATATTTACAAACTATAAAATAATGTGATTTCATCTGAGAAAAAAAAATCACAGTATCTAAATGCAATTATTGTAGTCAATAGTATGACCAATATTTTTGTTTGTTTTCCATTAAGGTGACATATTTGTTTGATAATGGAGGAACAGTCTTCTTTGCTATATTTATGGCAATATGGGGTAAGTATGTTCTATTATTACTTTCTAGTCCTCACTTTCTGCAGCTGTTGCTGTGTTTCTTCACATACACATACGTGCAAACATCCTATATCAATTCAACAATAAAGTCTCTAGGTTGGTAATTGTTTTGTTTGTCCTCCCTATGTGTTCATTGCTTCTTTGAGAGTTTAACTCTTGCACTAACCCTCTGATTACTAAAGCCTTGATCTTCTTACACTAAACAGCATGTTTTTCCTGACAAAGTGGGTGGTAATTAAAAACGGAAACATACCAACATGCAAAATTAAGCTTCTTGTATATTACTCATAAAAGTGATGGTCAGAAAATTTTGTTTGCTTAATATTTTCATTCATCTTTTCTTTTACCTTATGCTTCATACATTTAGAGAAGCAGAATTTATTTCATATATGGTTGAGCAATAATGTCTAATATGTAATAAATCTTGTTCCTATCTAACAATTTAAAACTATACAAATTGTGTATGGATATATTCTTTGGCTGACTTTTATCACCATGATTTTATTGAGTTTGTAAGGCACCCAATTAATTGAAGACTAATGTATAGATAAGTTGGAATTCCCCAATCTTTGAAGAGTTTTAGAGAAGCTATAACTATCTGGTTAGGGTCAGCTTGCTACTGTGGTCCTGTAGAATACAGTCATTGTCATTGTCAACTTGGCAACTCAAGGGGCTGACCCTGTATGTGCTAATGAAGAAAAGTAAAACGTACTAGAATACAGGTCTCTCATTCCTATTACCTTAATCTCCCAGGAACACAACTCTGGGTCATATCTTCTTTCTAGCTTTAAGTCAAAATTTAAAAAAAAAATCACCCTTCCAATTTTCCTTCAAGAAAATGCTGATCTTGATTTATGGCAACAGGAATGCATGTGGAACAGTGAAGAGTCAACAATACTGGTTTTTGTCCAATAAAAAGTAAAAATATAGTTTTGGTTCTCTGTTTCTGTTGAAAGATTTTATTATTAAATTATCAGATAGGGCTGTCGTGGTGAAATCTTTAAGTTTGACTTGATTCCATAGACATTTCCCACTAAGAATAAAACAGACCAAAATACAAATTGTTACTTAATAGATGCTTCAGCACAGCCAAAAATTGTTAAGAATGGAAAACTCTTGGATGATTTATCCTCTCTGTGTTTCTGCTACTCATCTCATACTTTTACAATTCTCCTTGGCACAATCTACACAACAGTGATCTTGCATAACCTTTTGGAAGATGAGATTGTTAAAAGGCCGAGATGTAGATGAACACTTGCCATCTGAACCTTCTTCCTCATAGTTTTATACTGAGGTACGAAGTGGAGGTATGTCGTTCATAGGAATGTCATCACATGCATTTTCTTGGCCTTCTGGCATGGATGAATTATTCACAGTTGGGTTGCAGTAACTAGAATTCCCAAAACTCACATCATAAGGTTCTGGTGCATTGTCTAATCGTAGAACTAAAAAAGTAACAAATAAACAAAATTGTTTTATACCACTTGTATGAAAAATGCACACTCAGGCATCTATCGCATTATAGAAATTGTTCTAGGTGAGTAAGTAGGGACATCTTTTATATGGGCTTTTCAGATATTAGTTTTGAAATTTTTAATAAGTAGATATTTTTCAAGCTACATTTTTTCTAAGACTAAGAGGATAGTCTTAGTTCCAAAATTTCACTGCAAGTGAAACCAAATAAAGGAAGAGATCACAATATAAGTGTACCAATACCTTGTATAAAAAAGGATAGATATATGTCTGAGCTACATTTTTTCTAAGACTAAGAGGATAGTCTTAGTTCCAAAATTTCACTGCAAGTGAACCCAAATAAAGGAACTAAGGAAGAGATCACAATATAAGTGTACCAATACCTTGTATAAAAAAGGATAGATATATGTCTCATTGATTTTTGAATCTTGTGATTTCAGAGCCTCGTCAACATGATCAGAATTTTTAACTACTGTATAAAAAATAATTTTTTAAAAATGAAGGCATTAATTTTAAAACCAATGCCATTATTTTACCAAATATCTTAATATCTTCGAGTCATGTAAGGTGGAGAAAGCAGAAAACTGTATGAGAAAGTTTATGTTTCCTTCTGATAGATCCAAGTTATTGTTAACTTGAGAAAAAATGAAGGCATTAATTTTAAAACCAATGCCATTATTTTACCAAATATCTTAATATCTTCGAGTCATGTAAGGTGGAGAAAGAAGAAAACTGTATGAGAAAGTTTATGTTTCCTTCTGATAGATCCAAGTTATTGTTAACTTGAGGTTTTCTGTTTAATGATACAAGTTTTTTTTTCTTTTTTGACAAATAGCCAATTATTTCCTTAATAATCTTGGATTCATTCTGAAAGGAAAACTAGGCATGTACTATGTGTCTTAAAGTATTGTAAACAGTGACTATTAATTAAGTTAGTATTCTAATTATTTAGTTGAGCATTATTATATGCTTACCTACCTATTCCTTAAATCATATATTTTACAAACTAGGCTCCCAGGAATCTTTGGTCTTTGGGAGAAGTGTTTCAAAGCTGTCTTGAAAGGGGTAGGTGGTATGATTGAGTTTTTCCTCTATGCCTCAATTACAATAACTTAGATTGTATCAATTTGACTAAAATTTTATGTGAGATTACATGTGAAGATAAGGTTTTTAGGTTTAAAAAGTTTGGAAATCTCTATTTTTAGAAATCCTATCTTTTGAACTTGATGAGTGTCAGTTTTTGTTTTATATGGATTACTAAAAACCAATAGTTATTTAAGTTAGATTCAATTAAATTGACAATTAATGAATTTCGTTCTGAATATATGAGTAATACATCAGTCATAATCTGAACTCATCTAAACTCAATAAGATTTCATCAAAGGTACTTATCAGGGGCATTTAATTATTTGTTATTGTGGGAAGAGTCCCTTGTGCAAGCTGGAAGAAAGATTTTTTTCTGAAGCATGAAAAGAGGGATGAGTTAAGCATCTGAAGTGATTTCATTTTTGTTCTAATTGATATTATATTATTAAAGATCAAACTCACTACTTTATTTTTAGCATATACATTTCTCATTCATAGATATTGTGGTTGGCTTTTTCCATCATGAGTGGAATATTGCTGAATTAAAGTATTTTGTGATTTTATGTGATCAAATATACAACTTTTAGATATTATGTTTTAGAGACTCATTAATGGAGGGCTGATTTCTCTGTATAAACTTTAGAAAAATCCCAAATTAGAATAAATCTTTGTTCAAATTACTGCTACTAAGAGATTTAAAAATTGTAGAGAATGGCTTTGCAGTCACTTGCGAACAAAACTGGCCATTTTTTTTTTCTTTTTCATATTCCTGTTTTCCAATTTTATATGTACGTTTTAAATTCTGGGATTACTACTTAAAACCAATTTTGTTGTAATGAGCAACAGTCCCAAATGGTTTTTAAATTTCACTCACAGGTCTATAATTATTTTGGTTTTGTTCTTTGAGAAACAGACGGTGGATCAGAATAAATCTTTAGTGTGTTTGTTGTGTAAGTCCCTGAATCCCTTCTAGGCAGTTCAGCGAACATTCGCATCTTCACTTATTTAAAATCACTGTGACCAGCTGAAGTTCAGAAAGTAGTTTTTACCTGGTTCGTTCCTGTCGTCATAAAGTCGCCGATGGGAAAATGAATCCGTTTTCCTTTTTCCACACAATAAGTAGCCAACAAGACTAAGCAATGAAGCACCCAGAATAGCACCTAAAATGGCCCCAAATACTACTCCTGTATTTCTATTCTCTAGAGAACAAAAAATAATAATTTACACATAAGAAATAAGAAATAATTATTCAAAGAACAGAAATATATACATATATATATGTGGGTGTTCTGTATATCAAAGAATGTTTAACAATGGTTATCTTAAATTAGAAATGGTGTGTGTGTGTTTTATAAAGTACTGAGTATTTGGGATATACTGACAAAATGTACTTCTTGATAAAACCACACTTCTAATTTTAATTACACTGGAATACTTCTAAGTCTTAGTTTTATAACTGTGTCTCACTACTTATTAACATCAATAATACTAAAGTGCCATTTTTGTGCTCCATTGAGATCTAATTTCACTGTTAAATGCTGTATTAATAAGTTTTTTGTGACTTCTGAATCTCAGATGAACTTTAACAATGACATAAATTTTGACCTTGTTTCTATGCATAATTCAAGGCTAAAAAGCTAATAGGAGTAAGTGGGTAATAGAAAATGAATTCACAAAACCCAAAGTAAAAAGCTACTATAAGGAAAAAGCAATATATTCTGATTCAGGCTACTCCCAAATAGAACAAATGGACCAAGACAGGATGTTTGCAATGTCTTGCATGTCAACAGTTGTGTAGGTATGAGTTTAAGGAAGTCCAAAATTTCACTATATCATCCCCTTTAATGAGTACCTTATTTGATGACTAATTCATCAATAAATGATTTACTGCTCCCTAAACTCATACTTAATGTGTTTTCTTTTCAATCTTTTAATTTTTTTGAGAAACTCATTAACTGGGTAGGCAAGGTGTCTTCTAAGGTTTCCGATTCTCTAAAAAATCCCTTTTCTAAGAAAAAAATAACTTTCATGTTGGAGTACAGTATAATTGTTCTAAAATAAAAGAGAAGCAAAATTAATATTTTTAGATAAAAGAGGAATGGTAGGAGTAAGTACTCAATATTCTCAACATGTATGTTGTGTTTAGATAGACAAACTAGAGAGTATTTTTTAAGTCTTTCTAATGGAATACCAGAGCATGTATGCCTCACGGGATGTGTTAAAATTATAGCTGAGGGCTGGCCAGTTAGCTCAGTTGGTTAGAACACAACCTTGCAACACTAAGGTCAAGGGTTTGGATCCCCATGCTGGCCAGCTGAAAAAAAATATATAGCTGAAATGAGAACATATGCACATATTCAGTATATTGATTGTGGTGCTATAATAAAGCCTAGCTTTCATAATTTAAAACTTTTCCTGTACACTGGCAAAAACTTTCAAATAGAAATTTGTATATATGATTGGTTTTTTACATCATTAACATAATCTCTAAGTAAACTGCATTGGAAGTCAGTGAGTTCATGGGAAAAAAACAGTATTTAAAAAAATTTTTTGAGGGAAAAAAAACAGGGTTAGACCTAAAAAAATAAACCAAGATGAATGAATTATTAAATCATAGCCATCTCTCCCATTTTATGTCTTAAAGCTTGACATAATCTCTAAATGAAACATAAAAAATGTCCATCTAACAAGTTTTCTTGTGATACTTAACCTAAATTCCATTGTTATGGTATTCATTAGGTACTAAACTAAAAATTATGGAGATTTCTTTTTGTTGAATTTATTTAATTTTCTTTTAAAATCAGTGTTCTACTGTTGTCCTGTGATTGCTGTGTAGTTTCAGATAAATTATAAATTTATTCATTTTGCACAATTTTTCAAAACTCGCATACATATATTTTTAAAGTTAAGTTGTATAGTATTTCTATAAGCATGTGAAATTCTAGTATCTCAAAACTATCCCACTGCCTCAGTCTCCATCTTTTCTCAACCTAACCTACTTTTCATTTTTTCCTTTTGTTTCCTTATGCTCCCATATAGTAATAACTAGTATATGCTAAGTTAAGCTGTAAAACTACTTCACTATTTCCAATTAATATAATGGTTGCCCCTAAAAGTAAGAACCACCTGTGCTGTTGCATTCGCCTCTATTTCTCTAACATGGCACATTCTTTAGACTTAATATGTATGACTTTTTTGGAGGTTCAATTTCACATAAAATAAAAGTTAAATTCGTTTATATTTACCTTTTTGGGGGTCTGATGTATTTGGGAAGAGTTTTGAATTATTGGTGAATTTTAAGGTGGGCTGTAGAGTTGTCTTTTCTTGATAAGGCGTAAACCCAGCAAAGCTATCGCTGTTTGTGGCAAGCCATCCAGTTGGTTTCGTTATCAAGGGGGTCGCAGACTTGGTAGTTGGTGGTGAAGGGAGGATGCTAAGTGTGGTGGAACTGTTGTCAGAAGTTTTCATGGTATCATTAACCAAAGACACAGTGAACTTTTCAGAAGATACAGCAGGTGTAGCACTGGGAATTGCTGAGATTGGCAAAGGGTTTTTATCTGCTATAGATGAGTTCCATGGCAATTTTGAAACAAAGCTATGAATCAGGGAAGGGCTTGTTGAAAACATGGATGTGGGTCTTGGACTCCCAGAAAAGTTGTCTGTTGACAAGTTACCAGAGGAATCTGAATTTTCAGAGATTTTGTCTGCTAGATCCGAAAAAGGGACCTTACTTTCCTTGGGATTGAAAGTGTTTCTGTTTCCTTTATCTGAATTTAAACTTGCTTCTTTTTCCACAGAAATAGTTTTATTTTCCATTATTTTAAAACTTTCTGCAATGCTCTGTGTTGAGTTTATTTCTAGATTTTCTTTCCCATGGTTCCCAAATAGTAGTGAACTAAACAAAGTTGAAGTATACAGAATTTTGACTGAGGTCAACATTATAGCCTTCTTTGGTATCGGTCTTAATAAAAGAAATCTGAAAGAAAATAACAATAATTTTAATTAATGAATTAATCATTCTGAGTTTTTAAAGTGGATCTATATGTTTAAAGTCATAAAAATCCAGAGACATAAGGTTGAGATCATATTACATTCTTTATTTAAAAATTTATTTTCTGTGTTATACACTTACAGTCACTAAGTTCTATTTTCTATATAATATTTCTTTCTTCCTTTCTTCTAGGGAAATGCCATGCAAAACTTTTGTCAAGTCAGACTCCACTAGTTCAAAGATCATTTAGTTTGGGACAAGTTGGAAAAAAACAAAACAAATATATTTTCTATATATAGTTTTTGTTTTTTCATATATATAATTCAAGTTGAACTATATATATGCACGAACACATTTATTTGTGTATATATACATGTATCTATATATATATATTAAACTACATATAAACTGCCAAGTAAAATTTTTTAAATACTGTAAATATAGTACATGTAGAGCTAACTAGTTTCTTCAATCTATTTAAGAAAACATGTTCTTGATAAAGATGTTATTTGGAATATTTGTTATAAAAATGACATTACTCATTATACACTAAATATTCCATGTATCAGGTTTTTTAAAAATAAATCAGTCAGGAACCCCCTTGAATACGTTTTTTTAGTATTTAGTTTGAGTTTTCTGAATTTGAAGTTAATACTCTTTTTTTTTACAATACTTTTTATTTCATGATGCTCTTCTTCCTACTTAACCCCAAGTTAGAGAGAATTAGAAAGACGTTTAGATTTTAGGATATTCTTTAATCTTACTACCTTATTTCATAAATGTAGAATATGGTTGCGGGTATATGTGGAAAAATTCACTTAGTAGATAACGGCAGAGTTGGGGCATGAAACCTCGGTCCTGACCTCTAACTCGAGCACACTACTCTGCCTCTTAAGAGTGGAAGTGCCACGATTCATAAATTTGTTGATATGGAAAAAGGTTTTAGAATCAGGTTTCTAATAAAATTCTGGCTTCTGTCAAAAATAACCTGTGAAAAATAATCATCCTAAGAAGCAGTTACTTCATGATAATTGTAGTAATTAAGGTGACTCACAGTGTTGTTCTGAAGACTAAATGAGATGATTTAAGTACATGCACTCTGAACAACATCTGGCCTAAAGTAAGAACTTACTGGATGTTAATCTCTATTTATTAGTATTCAAATAATAATATCTCCATAGTGCTTTGCAGGTTACAAAGCTTACAACATCATCTCACTTGATCCTCGTAATGATCCCTTGAGACGAAAGAGTACCTTGTATGATAACATTTTGCAGCTGAAGAAACTGAGATTCAGAGTGGCTAGTTAAGGAAGCTAGTAAACAGAAGAGGCGGCACTCAAAGCCAAGTGGACTGACTCCAACTTAATTAGGTGCTAAAATTTAAGTGCTTTTAACTGAAAATTTATTATTTAAAAAAAAGGTTAGATTATTCTTCCTCAAGCAATAAAGCCTGAAGACCACTTTCTTGTTCTTTGAATTGGACTTTATTCTGCACTAAAAGCCTCCAGACTGGCTGAGATAGGAAAAGGAGGAGGTGCAGCTGCTATTCTTTAGGTCTCCTATTGCCTTCCACTTTTCAAGAGCTCTCCCTGAAATTTTTACAAATATATTCAACCTTGCTGATTTTTTGGTAGGGTCTAAGGAGCCTCTCAGTACTCCCTCTGATTATCTTTTAGTTTTAAGTATCCCCCACCTCAACTTTTACTTAATGATTTTTCACATTGTACTGCAACTTAAATATTGTAATGCATCCCGATATAATATTTTCCTTCAAAAGCTTTTAGCAAGCCGTCTATGCCTGTGGATTCCTAAGGTTTTAGAGATGTAGTATCTTCTGTGCCCTATGCTTATCACCTAAGAAAAGTCTGTTTAAAAAGAAAGGCAGACATACAAAAACATTCATATCAGCATTATTTATGAGAGTCTCCAACCTAAATGTCCATTAGTAACAGATTGGGTAAAAAATTGTGGGATATTCATACAGTGAAAGTTAACAAAGGAGAGCTACATGTAACAATATGAATGATTATCACAAATAAAATACAGAGCTTAAAAAGCAGTTGTATTTCCATGTATACGAATTTCAAAATTAGGCAAAAAGCTATAGAATATTAGAAGTCAGGAAAGTGGTTACTTGTGGGAAGGAAGGAAAAAGTATGGATTGAGTGGGGCTTCTTGTGTGCTGGTGATACTGTCTCTTGACCTGATAGGGATTACATAGGTGTTTGTATTTGTGATAATTCTACTCATTTACATTTTATTCACTTTTCTGTGATAACCAAAAAAAAAATTGTTTACATTCTAAAAATGTCTGACATAATTGCAAATTATATTACTATTGTGCATTTGGTATACCAGATGCCTTACACATTTTTTATTTAATTCTTACCCCAAACAATCAAACAATGAGGAAGGGTTTATTAATCCCATTTTACAGATAATTAAGTGAGGCATAAAGAATGTGAATAATGTGTCCAAGGTCACATAGCTAGTGACTGAAAGAAAGGGTTAGGATTCAACCTCGGAGTGTTTGAGTTAAAGCTAATAAGTATTCATTTTTGTAACAGAAGTTGCAAAGGAGTATAGGACGTGGTACCCAGCTGCTTTTTAGAACTTCTTTCTACCATCGTTTTCTTAGCACATACTCTCCAAATCTAATTATTTTTACCAGACTAGTTTATACTCCCACTTTTTAAAAACACTAGAAATTTAGCACCTTCTGTCTAAATACTTCTCATGTACACTAAATACACTTTACCCTAATTTAAGAAAGATCCGACAACTGTTTGTATGTTTACCAAATGAACACCATGTAGTTTTACCACGTAGTTTACATATTAACATTAACAAACCACAAGTGATTATCGCCAGGACCTATAATTGACCAATATTTCATTAAGTTGATGCCTTACCTAGCACATTTAAAAGACAGTTCAGTTTACTTTAAAAATAGTCATGTGTACCTTTTCAGAAACATCTTCCTCCTGTGAACTCTGCAAAGTTCATAGCAAACATAGACTTTTTCATTATCTACTGCCAGTGATCTGATTTGTGAATTGTACTCAGCCACTCCTTTTATCATTACCATGTGGTTTGACTTGCTTTCCCTATACCTAATCATTTTGATTGTTTTCTTTTCCTAATAAAGTGGTCACCAGAAGGGTCCTTAGATGTTTTAGTTTTCTTATAGTGTTACATGAGGAACGTGGCATTGAGCTTCCATTCCCCTCCTATAATGAGAATCTACATATCATGAGTCAACAAAAGTGACTTTAATTTTGTTGTCCCTGTTTCACTTTGCCTTTACCATTGAACCACCAAGGGGATCTCTCATTGCTTCACCCAGCTTTTGATTGTAAATTGAAAACTTACGGGATCGACACCCCAAATGAGCCAAGCATTCTGTTACTGCCTATAATTTATCTCCTGGGAAAAGAAGAGAATGAGAGAGAGGGATAAGAAAATATGTTGTGAGTGCTATATACAGTTTATTCAGAAATTAACACTGCTGTTGATAAGGTTTTTCTGAAGATTGATTTATTCCTGTTGTCCCGACATTGCAGCAGGGATCAACTTTGACTCCGCTCCCTGGCTTAGAAACCAGAGAACCAGGTTACACCTCTTTCTCAGGTCACTTTTATCTTAAAGGCATAGAAGCAGCCAGGAATGGAAGCCTTCAGCCCTAAACAATGAACAATGAACACTGAAAAAAGTAAACTGTAAGCAACAACACTAGCGGAGGTAGTACAGAAGCTCTGGGAGCAACATGTAAAATCTGTGTTTTTTCTCTTTGCACTTTCCTTTCAGCATCTCTCCATCTCTAGAGTTCATATATTTAAACCATGTTATATACTTGTTACATAACTGAAGTCGTGTTGGATTACGGATGGTGTGCTTGACTGTGCCCAAGTTCATCTGTGGGGGCAGCCAGAAGGTGGGATGAAAGGAAATCAGGAGAACCAGGTAGCATAATTTCACTTCCTGATCTTTGCCTCTTGTACCTGAGTGGTATCACCAAGAAGAATTTTGAAGGCGTAACATAGGAACAGAGCTACTATCATCACAAACTTAAAATACTTCTAGGGATAGAATTACAACAAAGGGAACAGGAAAAGAGAGGAGGATTTCCAGCTACTTTGTGACACCTTAAATATAGATTCTAAACTTTCTTGTATATATTGAAGTATTTTCTATTGTTTCCAGTATTTATCAACTTTTAAAATATACTTTCAGAGTGGGTGTGTTGCACTGCTTTAAACAATTCCTCTACACAGAGAGAATGAACACCATTTTCTCTTTCTTTGGTATTGGCAGTGAACTGTGGTTTCACATTACCACTTTTGCATAGAGAGTTGCAGAAGGTTGTGAGAGAGGGGAAAAAACAAACAAACAAACAAACAAAAAAAAACCCAAAACCCAAACCTCGGACCATTAAGGGAAGCAAAACCACATTTTGTGTGCATATTTTGTTTCCTCTTAAATGCATGAAGTCATTATCTTGCACAGCCTCCTTATTGTAACTAAGTCATACCCATTTTATACCAAGCTTTGAAAACAAAATAAGGAGGTGCCCTGGTTTGAATCATATAATTAACTCATGAAAGGGAAAATAAATGGTAGTCATTCTAAACTAAATCCAAAACCAGAAAATTTAAATTATACCATCAGTCAGGTACACCGAGGGGATAATATAAAAGCATGTTTCTATAGTGAAATAACTAATGAGCATACGTTGTGCTACCTTTTCTCCCAGTTGCTTATGATCATTTCTCCTTACAGATCTTAGGCTACAAATTAAGACAGATGGGTGTTGTTTGTCTGTGTCATAGGAAATTCAGTCTATCCTGTAGCTAATATTCCAGTCAAAACTTGAGTGTTACTCTGAGTGTCCTTTCCAACCTTGGACAGTATTTTGCTTTTCCTAAATAAAAAAGCCATAATAAATTAGGACATAAGAAATT